TTCCTTTTCTGTAACTTACTTTTTATAAGAATATAATGCATAATACACACAACATAGAAAATATGTGTTCATCAACTGCGTATGTTACCAGTGAGCCTTCTGGTCAAGAGTAGGCTATTAATAGTTAAGTTCTGGGGGAATCAAAAGTTATACTTGGATTGTTGACTGTGCAAGGGTTGGTGTCCCTAACCTCTGCATTGTTCAAGGGTTAACAAGAAAGCCATATTCATGTTATGAAATCATACATTTAACAAAAACACACTGAAACTTGCTGGCCCCTAACCTGGCTGACTGCCTCACTTCTGGGGTCCTTGAAAGATCTCGTTCCCATCATTCAAGAAGGTGAAGACTAGAGGAGCCTCAAAATGGCGCAGGCAAGATGGCTTCCTTGCACTCGGCCTCCCTAGCTGAGTCGTTCCAGTCCAGTCCCCACCCCTCTCTACTCCATCCAACCCAACCCAGCCTGACAACCTGGCCATCATTTACCTCCTAAAACTAGCTCCCAACCACTTGATCAGCCAATAAACCTTACGTGCCCCATTATGTTCGAGAGGATGTGGTGTGCTGAGGGATGGAGGTGGAATTAAAAGACCAAAATAAAGGCTGGGCACAGTGGCTCACACCTGTAATCCCAGCACATTGGGAGGCCGAGGCTGGCAGATCATCAGGTCAGGAGTTTGAGATGAGCCAGGCCAATGTAGTGAAACCCTGTCTCTACTAAAAATGCAAAAGTTAGCCAGGTGTGGTAGTGCATGCCTGTAGTCACAGCTACTTGGAAGGCTGAGGCAGGAGAATCACATGAACCTGGGAGGTGGAGGTTGTAGTGAGCTGAGATTGCGCCACTGCACTCCAGCCTGGGTGACAGAGCAAGACTCAGTCTCAAAAAAAAAAAAGTCCAAAATATGGCTCTAGCCCTTAAAATGCCTATGGTCGAGGCGCTGTGGTTCATACCTCTAATCTCAGCACTTTGGGAGGCCAAGGACAGGGGTGAGGACAGGGGTGGGGAAGGGGTGAGGGTGGGAATCACTTGAACCCAGGAGTTTGGAACCACCCCTGGCAACATTGGCAGAACCCATCTCTACAAAAAATACAAAAATTATCTGGGCATGGTGGCACATACTTGTAGTCCCTGCTACTAGGGAGGCTGAAGTGGGAAGATCACTTGAGCCAGGGAAGTAGAGGTTGCAGTGAGCTATGATTGCATCACTGCGCTCTAGCCTGAGTGACAGAGTGAAACTCTGTCTCAAAAAAAAAAAAAAAGTAGCCTACAGGCCAGGCAAGATGGCTTATGTTTATAATCCCAGCACTTTGGGAGGCTGAGGTTGGTGGATCACTTGAGGTCAGGAGTGCAAGACCAGCCTGGCCAAAATGGCAAAACTCCATCTCTACTAAAAATACAAAAATTAGCCAGGCATGGTGGCACACAGCTGTAATCCCAGCCTCTAGTGAGGTTGAGGCAGGAGAATCATTTGAACCCAGGAGGTGCAGATTGCAGTGAGCCAGGATCGTGCCACAGAGACAGAGCAAGACTCCACGTCAAAAAAAAAAAAAAAAAGCTAGGGGAAAGTGGAACCCTCCATAAATCCCTCCTGCTTGGACTTCACAGGAGTCCACAGGAAAGATTTAAGAAACTTGAGCAACCTTTAAAATGCCCAGCTCCCACTCTGTACCAAGTGGCATTGCCCTTCTTTATATGCACAGTGCACCGGCTCTAGCAGCATCTCCATTAATTCCAAGGGAATAAAGAACATTAAGCTCAAGGTTTCCTTCTCCACCCTTGGGAGCAATGAATGAAGACCAGCTGCAGAGCAAGAGAACACGTGAAGTCCAGGTCTCGTCTCCCCAGGCACTAGGAGCCCTTGGCCTCCTCCCCACAGCCTCCTGCTGCAGCAGGTGGCCCCAGCAGGCCTGGGGCATCAACAGATGGGACACGCATTACCCAAAACAAGCACTGGCAAAGGATGGGGGTGCTTGAGGGGCCAAGTGGAGAGAGAAAGAGTCCCCTGTATTTCACAATTTTTCCCTGCTCTTTTCCTGCAGGCTTCATGTCACTGCAAATGACAGTAGCAGTCAGGACGATAGCATCTGCCTAGTTGCAACTTGCGTTCTTAGCTTACCCAGGCAAAGCTCTCAACTCAGCATTGCTACCAACTTGCAAGTCAGGAAGACTCAGCCTTCTTGCCCCACAGCACCTGACTCCACCAGTCTGGGAACTGTTTACATTCCCAGACTGGTGGAGTCAACTGGTGGAGTCAGGCGCTGTGGGCACCAATACGGAAGCTGGACACCAGCGGATCTGAAGCAAGCTCTCACCTTAAGTCTCACCTTAAGTCCCCGAAATGAGCTGGCTTTGGAGGTCAGATGGGTTTTCTTCCTTTGCTCTGCTTGGTGTAGGCAGCAGAGTGTCAGGCAGTGGGTCAAGTTTGTTAGAGAGGCAAATTCTCAGGCCCCACCCCAGACTTGGGCAAGAGGCCCAGAAATCTGTCTTAAACGGCACTTCAGTGATTCTGATGCACGTGCTGAACTTGGAGGCATTGGTGCAGGAGCTCCTTTCTAAAGCCTGACCTTCCAGGTTCCATTCCCACCTCTGACACTCACTAGCTGGGTGACTGTGAGCCACTTGTGCAGGCGGGTGTCAGAGCACCCATCTCACAGGTCACGGTAAAGATCCCATGGTTCATGTATGTCAGAGGCATATAGGAAGTAACCTCCTTTCACCTAGTTTTCTCCTTTCCCATCTGGGGATGACATGAAGCCTCTCTGGATAGATGTGAACTTATTGTGAGATAATGCATTTGTAATGTCTTTGCACACATCTGGCACACAGCAAGAATTCCTTTGATGATTATTACAGAATTTTATTATTCCTATTAGGGAAGTGTGGGGTATAGCTCTATAATATTTAATGCTTCTGACTGGAACTAATACCGGGGCCAGGCATGGTGGCTCACACCTGTCATCCCA